GATGGTACCACTAACCCAGAATCGTGGCTTACCATCTACGGTCTCGCAATCCGCGCAGCAGGAGGAGATAGCAAGGCCATGGCGAACTATTTACCAGTGGCTTTAGCGGATTCCGCCCGATCTTGGCTCCATGGGTTGCCCCGTGGTACAATCGGATCTTGGGCCGAGTTACGTGACCACTTCATCGCCAACTTTCAAGGCACCTTCGAGCGTCCCGGCACACAATACGACCTCTACAACGTCATTCAGATGTCCGGAGAATCCCTTCGAGATTACATCCGGCGATTTTCTGAACAGCGTAACAAGATCTCCGACATCACCGACGACGTCATCATCGCCGCATTCACCAAAGGGATTCGCCACGAAGAATTGGTTGGCAAATTCGGGCGTAAGCCTCCCAGGACAGTCAAGCTCATGTTTGAAAAAGCCAACGAGTACGCCAAAGCTGAAGACGCCGTCACCGCGTCAAAGCAGTCGGGTCCTACTTGGAAGCCAAAAAAGGATACGCCAGCTTCGGGAGGAGGTGGAAGTAACAATCATAAGGACCGCAAGCGTAAGTCTGCAGAACTTGTTGCAACCGCCAGTCACTCTTCTCGACAGCGTTCGCGCGTCAACACGTTCGACAAGATCATGAACTCCCAATGTCCGCACCATCCTAACTCCAACCACGTGGCCAAAGATTGTTTCGTCTACAAGCAATTCGCGGATCAATACACCAAGACTACACGGAAGAACTCCGACGAAGAACAAAGCACGTCGAGGAAGAAGGACGACGGCGACACCCCGGCAGGTTTTCAAGACCACCGCAAGGAGCTCAACCATATCTTCGGCGGCCCCCTGGCTTATGAGTCTAAACGGAAGCAAAAGTTGACCGAACGGGAGATCAATGCTGTTCAGCCCGACACGCCCCAATATCTTCGATGGTCAGAGATTGCAATCAAGTTTGACCGCTCGGATCATCCTGACCGAGTGGTCCACCCGGGGCGGTACCCCCTGGTACTAGACCCAGTGGTCCGTAATGTCAAGCTTCGCAGAACCCTCATCGACGGTGGCAGTGCACTCAATATCCTTTTCGCCAAGACCTTGGATGATATGCAGATTCCTCGCTCCGAGTTAAAACCAAGCAATGCGCCTTTTCACGGCGTAATTCCAGGATTATCCGCAACTCCACTCGGCCAGATCACCCTCCCGGTCACTTTTGGCACTCGGGAAAACTTTCGCACAGAGAATATCAGCTTCGAAGTCGCCGATTTCGAGACAGCATACCATGCCATACTCGGACGCCCGGCATTAGCCAAGTTCATGGCCGTCCCGCACTACACTTACATGATGATGAAGATGCCTGGTCCCCGAGGAGTCTTATCCCTACGGAGTGACATCAAGCAAGCCGTCACATGCGACAAGGAGAGTTGCAACATGGCCCAAACCCGCGAGATAGCGTCTGCTCGAGAGGATATCCGACTGGCTGCAGCAACGGTGGACGAAGGAGAAGTGCCCGCTACCAAGACTTCAAAAAGTGGAGAAAGCGAAGCCAAGACTAAGAAGATTCCCCTAGATCCCTCTGATCCTACTAAAACTGCTGTAATAGGCGCCGAGTTAGATTGTAAATAGGAAAGCGCGCTCATCACCTTTCTTCAGAACAATAAAGATATCTTTGCGTGGAAACCATCTGATATGCCCGGTATTCCTAGAGAGGTGATTGAGCACTCCTTACATGTCAAAGAAGACGCCAAGCCTATCAAACAACGACTCCGCCGATTCGCACAAGACAGGAAGGACGCGATCAAGGAGGAATTAACCAAGCTGTTAGCAGCAGGCTTCATTAAAGAAGTCCTTCATCCCGACTGGCTGGCAAACCCAGTTCTAGTTCGGAAGAAAACAGGGCAATGGCGCATGTGTGTTGATTATACTGACCTCAACAAATCCTGCCCTAAAGATCCTTTTGGGTTGCCTCGCATTGACCAGGTAGTCGACTCGACCGCCGGCTGTGAGCTTCTCAGTTTTTTGGATTGCTACTCGGGGTATCATCAGATCCGACTGAAGGAATCCGACTGCTTGAAGACTTCATTCATCACGCCCTTCGGGGCATACTGCTACGTCACCATGCCATTTGGACTCAAAAACGCAGGAGCAACTTATCAACGTATGATCCAGAGATGCTTCTCAACGCAGATTGGCCGCAACGTTGAAGCCTATGTGGATGATGTAGTCGTCAAGACCAAGCAAAAGGATGATTTGATCTCGGATCTAGAAGAAACCTTCGCGAGCATCCGCGCTTTCAGGATGAAATTAAACCCTGAAAAGTGCACCTTCGGAGTACCGTCAGGGAAGCTGCTTGGTTTTATGGTGTCTCATAGGGGCATCCAAGCCAACCCGGAGAAAGTCACTGCTATCCTCAACATGAAACCGCCAAGTACCCAGAAAGATGTCCAGAAGCTGACTGGATGCATGGCGGCGCTCAGCCGATTTGTTTCAAGACTTGGCGAGCGGGGGATGCCCTTCTTTAAGCTACTAAAGAAAACAGATGATTTCCAGTGGGGACCTGAAGCACAGAAGGCCTTCGAAGATTTCAAGAAACTCCTCACCGAGCCACCCGTCTTAGCTTCACCACATCCGCAGGAGCCGTTGTTGCTGTATGTGTCAGCCACCTCCCAGGTTGTAAGCACAGTCTTGGTCGTCGAGCGTGAGGAAGAAGGCCATGTCCAGAAAGTCCAGCGACCGATTTATTTTGTCAGTGAGGTCCTAGCCGATTCCAAAACGAGGTACCCTCAGGTTCAAAAGCTGTTATATGGTATACTAATTACTACCAGGAAGCTATCTCATTATTTTCAAGGTCACTCGGTAACGGTGGTCACATCATTTCCACTCGGTGATATCCTGCACAACCGCGAAGCAAACGGACGGATTGCTAAGTGGGCTTTGGAGTTGATGTCTTTGGACATATCATTCAAGCCCCGAATTTCAATCAAATCCCAAGCGTTAGCTGATTTTGTCGCCGAATGGACCGAGTGCCAGGAGGACACCCCCGTGGAGAAGATGGAGCACTGGACCATGCATTTTGACGGGTCAAAAAGACTTTCGGGCACTGGAGCAGGAGTGGTTTTGATTTCCCCAACTGGAGAAAGATTAAGCTATGTACTTTGGATACATTTTTCGGCGTCCCACAATGTCGCCGAGTATGAGGCCCTCCTTCATGGACTGCGGATTGCAATTTCCCTAGGGATAAAGCGTCTAATAGTTCGAGGTGATTCACAGCTGGTTGTCAACCAAGTTATGAAAGAGTGGTCCTGCCTTGACGACAATATGATGGCATATTGACAAGAGGTACGCAAATTGGAAGAAAAGTTCGATGGACTCGAGCTCAGTCACGTTCTTCGACACAATAATGAAGCCGCCGATAGACTTGCCAACTTTGGATCCAAGCGCGAGGTGGCGCCCTCTGATGTTTTCGTCGAACACCTTTATACGCCGACGGTACCTCACAAAGATACCACTCAAGTTGCGGGCACTCATGACGTCGCTATGGTTGAAACCGACTGGCGAGAACCCCTCATTCGATTTTTGACTTCTCAAGAACTCCCCCAAGACAAAGATGAAGCCGAGCGGATTTCAAGGCGGAGCAAACTTTGTGTTATGCATGAAGCTGAGTTATACAAGAAAAGCCCTTCAGGAATTCTGCAACACTGCGTATCTTTAGAGGAAGGGAGACAATTGCTGCAGGACATATATTCTGGGATATGCGGAAACCATGCCGCTGCACGCACCATTGTCGGCAAAGCTTACCGGCAGGGTTTTTTCTGGCCTACTGCAGTGTCCGACGCCGACAAGATTGTGCGCACGTGCGAAGGTTGCCAATTTTTCGCCAGACAAATTCATTTACCAGCTCAAGAGTTGCAAACTATCCCGTTGTCTTGGCCGTTTGCGGTGTGGGGGCTTGACATGGTTGGCCCGTTTAAAAAGGCAGTCGGCGGTTACACGCATCTCTTTGTGGCCATTGATAAATTTTCCAAGTGGATTGAAGCTAAACCGGTTGTCACAATCACAGCAGATAATGCTCGAGACTTCTTCATCAACATTGTGCATAGATTTGGAGTGCCCAATCGGATCATCACTGATAATGGCACACAATTCACTGGCGGAGTTTTTAAAGACTTTTGTGAGGACTTTGGAATTAAGATTTGCAATGCCTCAGTGGCACATCCCATGAGCAATGGACAGGTGGAGCGAGCCAATGGCATGATACTTCAAGGGATTAAAGCGCGTGTCTTTGACCGGCTAAAACCCTACGCCGGCAAATGGGTGCAACAGCTGCCATCGGTACTTTGGTCTTTGCGAACTACACCCAGTCGGGCCACAGGCCAGTCACCCTTTTTCCTTGTCTATGGGGCAGAAGCAATGTTGCCGAGTGAAGTTGAATTTGAATCTTTGCGCTTTCGAAATTTCCGTGAAGAACGCTACGAAGAGGACCGAGTGGATGACTTGCACCGATTGGAAGAAGTCCGCGAAGCAGCTTTGATTCGGTCGGCTCGATACTTACAAGGGTTGCGGCGTTATCATAATCGCAATGTTCGATCCCGTGCCTTTCTAGTCGGCGACCTGGTTTTGAGGAAAATTCAAACTACACGAGATCGGCACAAGTTATCTCCTTTATGGGAGGGGCCGTTTATCATCTCTGAAGTCACCCGGCCAGGTTCCTATCGACTCAAGCGCGAAGACGGTACTCTCGTCGACAACTCTTGGAATATTGAACATCTTCGCCGTTTCTATGCTTAAGCTTATCATTGTATTTCCCTATTTTGACTGTCAACATCAAGTTTTCTTCTTGCCGTTGTCAGTCGGGGGCTATCATCATAATAATGGAGTGTGATTTTTTATCAATTTAATTTGCTTACTTGGTCTATCATTGCCTTGTTTGATTTTTTCTACTTAGTCTGCGAGGACTGAAAGTTTTTAATAGCTTCTTTGGGTTTTAGGCTCAACAAAGCTTGATAAAAGCTTTTAAGAAATCAAAGACTTGGTTAGAACTATCAAGCACAGCATAAATACACCAGTATTGTACAAATTAAGCCTCCATTTGCTACATTTACACTCAGTCAGAATCAGTCCTTTCATCATCAGAGTTATTATTGCTCGGCTGAAGGTCGTTGTTGCGGAATTGCTCTACAACATCACTTGCAATCTTGTCAGCCGCACTTTGAGCATTACTGATAAGATCAAGAGCAGCTTCTTCACTTGTCCCGTCTGCAAAGCCATCAATGGTATCAATTTCAATCCTCGGGTACAAGGATTTGGTCATCGCCAATGCCATACTAGCTCCCATACTTCCAGCTTTCTTGATATTCTTGAAATATACATCCGGTGCAACTCTCAGCTTGTCAAAGATTTCGGTTGCGTCAAGTGCACTCGGACCACTGTTATTAAGGAACATAGCTTGGACGAGTGGTGTAGCGACATTGGCGACTTCGTCTCTTGCTCCTTCAAGCTTCTTGATCTTACCAACCAGGACATCAAACTGAGCTTGAGATTTGATTTTACGGTCTACAAAACACGTTTATAATAAGAATCTGCTGCATTAAAGAGAGGACAGTTCAAATTGTCAGCTGGCAGTACCTTCAACCTCCTTCAAGGCTGAGTCCCTTTCCGCAGCCAGTTCTACCTTGTCTCTTTTCAAGGCTTCAATTTGTTTCTCCATCTGAGCCATTCTGGTGGCTTGCGCTGTTTGAAATCCAAATGTTTGAGGGTACAGTTATGACAGCATAAATCGATGGAACAGATCTGGAAGATTACCTTTTGATGAACCACTCAGCTCGAAGTTTGAATCCTGGAGCTGAGCAATTCGCTCCCTTAATTCTTTCTCCGTCTTTTTTGCGTGCTCCTTGGCCTCATGTAGCTGTTCCCTAACGGCTTCAAGAGTTCCCAAATGTGGAACCAGCTTTTCTAAGGTTGTAGTCTTGGCCTCATTGCGAAGATGGATTCTCTGCACGGTGGTTCATGGATTAGTTTTGCTAACGAGAAAACAAAGTCATTAAAGGCAGTCACCTAGAAGACTTACATTCACAATGCGAGTAGCTTCTCCAAGTACTTTCTTCAGCTGGCACACTTCCTCATCTTCTTTTTGGCGATTTATGACAATGCCGGAAACTTGAGAGTTCTCGTCCCACCACTTGAGTAAGATAGGAGGACGAGAGTCATCAGCTGCCTTTATGCGGAGAATTTCTTCTTCGTCGCCACCTAATGGACCTGATGTATTCCCAAGACATTAGACGAACAAGCTGGAGTTATTCAGAACGGCATCACTTGAGAAGATGAGTTACCTGAGGATGTGCCTAGCTGAGCGTGAGGTGATCTTTGCTCTTTATCCGGAGACCCAATCACCGAGTCATTACCAGCTTTTGGTCCTTGAGAAGTTGTCGCCTGTGCTTCAGCTTCAGGAATCTCTTGATTTAGACCCACATCCGACTGGTTTCCAGTCGGGGGCTCTTGGGTTGTTGCAGTTTCAGTAGCTGCCGACTGGTTTCCAGTCGGCGGCTGGTCACTCGGATTGGCCTTGTCATCCGAAGCATGGGCGCCAGTCGGCTGACTTTCGGCAGTCGACTGGTTTTCGGCAGTCGGATCAGCATCTTTGGATAAATTTGACTCTGTGGCAGTCGGATCAGGATTTTTTCTAGTTGGATCTATATCAGACGGTTTCCTGCAAAGTGTCCTTTCGGTATTCAGCGTAATTTCTATGAGAGAAGCATGCCAAAATAAAATGGTATCGAGAAGTTTATACCTGGAAGATGTTCTAATCTTTGGCATTTGACGGCCAGCCAGTTTTTTCCTGGGCATGGTATGCTTTGGGAGTTTATTGGGCGTGCCCTTGTCCCCAGATTTGTTGCTGTCATCGCCTTCGTCGTCATTAAGCACCAGCTTTCTCTTGCGAGAACCTGTCTGCCCAGCCGGTTTGGAGGTTTGAGGTTGCGGGTCTGACCTGATTGTCGGCCCTCCACTTCCCTGAACGGTGTGCTGGCGAGGAGATCGGCGTTGAGCAATTGGGGGATCAGATTTCATCAATACGTACTCCTAAATGAGATGCTTCCACGGTTAGCTCACTCAACATGAAGATAAAATTATATTTTGGTCATGAGTTAAAGGTTTCAGATACATACCTGTGGAGGCGGATTGAATGCATTATATGGTACAACTGGCAGCTGATGTGAGTAGCTGACGACAATAGCATTTGAGAAGATTTTATACATTCTCTCCTTCATGATTTTAAAGTCCAGAGAGTCTGGGTCTTCACGGTTTGGATCATGCTTGCCGTCAAACTCGAATGCTGTGCGGGATCTCTCTTTGATTGGAGCTAATCGACACTTAATGAAATGCCGAGTGATTTGCTCTCCCTGTAAGCCTTGCTCTTTGAGCTTCAGCATGCGTTCCATCAGTTCTAAGGCTTGGGCAGCTTCATCTCCCATGGGAAGAGAGTTCCAGGTATCTTGGTATACTGGGGGAAGACAAGAGTACTCGGGAAGAGCAGGCTCAGGATTCTGAACATAAAACCAGTTCGCATGCCACCCTTTGTTTGAGGTCTTGAAAGGCATAGAGAAGTACTTCTGGCTCAGGGTTCCCCTCAACTGAAATCCTGCCCCTCCGACTACACATGGCTTATTCTTGTTCGGTTGGGGCTTGAGAAAAAAGATTCGGCGGAACAGAGCGAAGTGGGGTTTAATTCCCAAGAAGGCTTCACAAACATGGATGAAATTGGCGATATGGACTATGGAATTTGGGTTTAGGTGATGCAAGCTGATTCCATAAAAGTTTAATATCCCGCGGAAAAATTTTGAGGACGGAAGAGCGAAGCCGCCATAGAAGAAATGAGAGAAGACCACAATCTCGTGTGTATCGGGGGTCGGAAAAATCTCACCGCACGCTGGCCGCCACCCGATGATCTCCTTGGCAGGGAGAACGCCGTGCGCCACCATCTCCTTCAGGTTCTCTTCCGTTACGTCGGACGGCGCCCATTGGCCTTCAAAGCTTTCTTTCTCCTCCGCCATCGATTTTACCCGAATGCGTTGATTTGATTCGAGGGATGGCTAGGAAAAGGTGAGGGATTGAGGCGGTGGATCACGGGAAGGATTTTGATGCACTTTTCGAAGGTGGATTTGAGCGGAATGGTGAACCCTAGTTTGCCGGCGCAGTTCTTTACTGTAGCAGGGAGTGGGGAAAATGGCGAGAGTTCCGGCGGGGAAGACGAAGTGTTGCTTGGATCTCGGGATTTCTCGTTAAGGGTATCGGAGGTGCAAATGGGCTTAGGCCTGAACAGTACCTCAGCCCAATACTTTTAACAGCGTGGCCCATTGTGTTCCTTAGGGACTTAGGCATATTTTTTGCTTTGGCAATTTATGCGCACAATAGTGTTGCCCAATGCTGATAAAATCCTTTTTTATGCGGTCATATAATTCTTTGGAATTATTGCAATGCAAATTAAAAGGTGCCCGACAGAAAGGTGTTATGCTGTTTTTGTAAGCTTTTTTAGGCTACAAAAGCTGTCTGGGTTAACTTGGAATGACTTGTTTTTACCATAGTCATTTCCTTGGTATGTTATATGCCTGTTTTCATTATGGTGAATAGTCATAGCCTAGGCTATTAGACTTATTTATTACCATAATTTTTATAATACTTGGTGGGTAATCTTTAGAGTTTTTATTCGGATGCCTCTCGAGTGTGTTCATTCGTGAACCTTTTAGAGTGTTAACCACTCGGATTTCTTTTGTTATGGCTAAAAAGCAGTCGGCTAGAATGCCTCTTTAGGCGCCGCATATGCTTTTGTCATATGATGCATGATTGTGCTATTATTTTGTTCTCAACTATATGTTTAGTTTGTTAACTAATCACATAGTTGGGGGCTACACCTAATTAGGTGCATCTATTCGATGCACCATATTCTTTATCTTTTCGCCCTTTACAGTCTTCGTCTTCGCTACTCGGCAGGCCTTGGCATGAAAAGTTTGAAGCACTCAGATTATTATCTTTGAGAAGGCTATGATGGTTGACTGCAAAGGTCTCGGGGGCTACTGTGGAGATTATGGATATCCCATATCTACATGGCGATGATATTTGGACTGGATATAGGATACCGAATATATATAGAATATCTTATTTGTATCTCGGGTTTGTTTCTTAACTTGTACATCAAGGAAACACCTTGAGACTTAGTCGGTTACGACTGTATTTTACCTGTATTTGTATATTCCGTTAGGGATATAGATTATCTTTTGTAACACGGACTCCTTCCCATATATAAGGGGGGTCCGGGTGCCTCTAGGGGCAGATGTTGATTTTCTCTAAATCATACAATCAATAATACACTCGGCGGATTCATCCCCGGACAGGAGTAGGGTATTACTTCTTTTATAAGAAGGCCTGAACCTGTATAAATCCTTTGTCTCCAAACCCATACACTTTCCTAGCTTGATAGCCACCCCCTTTTATTATTGCCGAAATCTAGTTTCGACATGTGTGTACTTAGATTTTCAGTTATAAACTCATTAAGTTAATCCTCTATTTAGACAATGACTAAATCATGAACTTGACTATATATAATCATGGAATAGTAAATGGGGAGCGTATCCTATGCACACAGGCCCTCGCGTGTACACACCGTGTACACCAACTAAAAATTATCACAAAAAATTCTAGGAAAATTCATACATGTACTTTCAATAGTATTACATCTACGTGCAAAGTCGCATCTTCAAATTCATTCTACATAGAGAATAACAAAAAAGATAAAATTCTGACAAAATTACAACCTTAAAACTGTCAGATTTTTTGTTTTTTTTGTTACGGCTAAAATATAATGAATTTGACGTTAAGATTTTAACCCTAGGTGTAATACAATTGAAAGTATGGGTATGATTTTTTCTAGATTTTTTGGTGACATTTTTTAGTTGTTGTACACGTGTGTACACGCGAGGGCCTGTGTGCATAGGATACGCTCCCGTGCATAGGATATGTTGCCTAGTAAATGATACTAATATCTCCTATCTTTGCTTTAAATTGAACTAATACATATAGCTACACATGGTTCCCATAGTGACAGAACATGTTAACAACAAATATTCCTCTACCTAGTTCACTGTACAATGAAAATTTTTATTTGCTAGCACATTTTTAGTTTAATCATTATCTAATCATTTGATATTAATTATTTAATAATTATAAATATATTTTATCAAATAGTAAGTTATATACTATTGGAAAGATTATGAATTTAGATGAATTTAGGTTCAAGTTTCACTCGAATTGGCGCTAAAATGAATAAATTATGCTAGCTCAAAGATTCAAATTTGTATTAATTCCGATAATTGTGAAACAGTACTGTTCCTAATTGATTTGTTTTTAATCCAACATAAGCTACTGTGACTGACAGGTGGGACCAGCCCAGGTTGACTAGGGTCAAACCGGCTGTTTTATTCACTGGTGGGCCCCATACGTCATAGAGAGTAAACTTAATTTTGATTTTAATTAGATTTCTAATCATCCGAACCCACGCGTCATAGGCTCATTTATCCGGTGTGAACTAAGTAATTACTGTGCACTAATCAGGGTGGGTCCCACACGGTTCTCTCTCTTCGTTCTTCTCCCATCGTCTTCTTCCTCCAGCCAAGCCGCAACCGCACGAGTGACTACACGCGGCGTGGCCAGGTCAGGGCGAGGGTGGCTCGGCGACCGCCAGGGGCGACGGGGAGATGCTCCGTCGACCACCCGCCGGTGGCAGCCGGTGCGCGAGGAGACGGGGGCGCGCGGCGCCATCAGGCGACGCCATGCCCGAGCTCGGCTACAAGGGGCTTCGGTGCTAGGGACATCCTCCGGCCGAATTGAAGGGCGCGGGAGAATCTACGGGGTATGGGGATTCGATTTCACAAACTATATGGAGAGGGGAGCTCCCGGGATAGCCTACCCACGGAGAGCTCGCCGGCGGCGAAACGGCGACCGGGGCGGCACGGCCATGGGCGCTAATCGCCGATTTTGGAGCCGGCGCTAGCAATTATATGTACGGAGGACGCTACGGGCGCGAGGGTGTACCGCGAGACGGCGAGACGGCGAAACGCAGCGAAGTGGAGCTCGACGCGGTACAGGACAGGGGCAGACGGCGGCGACGTAAGGTGCTCGACGGCGTTTCTTGATGTCTAGCGGCTACCCGGCTTCCCCCATGGCGACGGCGGCAGCACGGCTCTTCCTCCACTCCCTCCAACGTCCAGCTCCGGCCGGGGAGCCTCACAATGGTGATCTCTAGCGGTGGTGAGAGGGTGATCGCAAGGTGTTCGATGAAATGCATTGGAGGAAAAGGCAGAGAGGGATGGGGATTTTGTTGGGGGCTTAGCTTAGGGTGTAAGGAAACGTTGGGGATAAGATTGCCAACACATGCCTGGACGAGCTAGAGCCCTAATGGCGATTGGGTAAGAACAATGAGGTGGATGACGGGATAAAGATTGATTTCCTTCTCCATTAAGGTTCTGTGGCTCCATCATCGCACCTAAAGCCTAAAGTCTGTGCGTTCTAGCTCTACCTGTGGCAAGAGGCTCCGTTTTATCCATTGGGCGCGAATGGGGGCGACGGGACGCGTGCACATGGGCGACAGCAGAGCGACGGCTTGGTGAGAGCGGTTTTCCCGGCGTAGGGCAGTTGGCTAGGGCTAGGGGTGACTTGGGATGGCGCAGCGGCCGTTATCCCTCGGCATCGATGGCGACACGCGATGGGACGGGGTGACGCAGGCGCCCGTGGCGGCGCAGCCTTTTTGTGGGAATCCGACGGCTCGGTCGGGCGACGGGGCCCACACGAGCGCGGTGTGGCGCGGTGCGGTGCACGGACACACCTGGTGTGGCGCACGTGTAGGGAAGGTGGGCGTGCGGCACATCCGCGACCGAAGAAGGCGGCGTCGGGTGTTCAACCGGGTAGATTCCGAGTCGAGCACCTGGTGCGCAATGAACAGTACCGGTGGAAAATAAAAGAAAAGGAGAAAGAGGGAAAAAGGGAAGGGCTAAACTGCAAAATGGCTAAGATTGGATTTGGAATTGAAATGTAGCTCTACACATTTTGGATTTTGGTAATTCAAATATTTCATTTGAATATTTATTTATTTATTCATTAGTTCCCAAATGAATTTGCTTTCCATTAGATTATCCAAAAATTATCCGATATAACTTCTAGGCTTTGATATTTCTTAAAAACTAATTAAATATACTAATGTGACCTTCAATAATACAATAGCACATTGGTCGAGTTTATTTGTATAACAATGTATTTTACATGGACATGCTTAATCTACTATTCCATAAAAGTAAATTGAGACTTGGTACAATATTGATCTAAATGTTTAATTATACACTCTCATAAACGCATTTTATATATAAAGCTTAATTCATTTACATGACCAATTATTTTATCTGAGTGAATTTTATGTCTAGAAATATATGTTAAATATTAATGTAAATATTCCAATGAAATACTCATCTATAAATAGGATCACTATAGTGGTGTTCATCATTTCATGTGGATAGGTTGTCCTTTTAAATTGGTTTTACCTCTATATGGATTATTATAGTTTAATATTTGTCCTATAAATTAAATTAGTAATTAACCTTCTCTTTATATGGCTTTGTTGTGGTGTGTAATTATTTATAGAGTTCATAATAAATATCTTATTTTTATAATTATTAATTAGTTGTATAGCTTTAGCTTACTTTTCAATTGTGACAATTTATAGCTTGGCAAGCAATTGCAACCATAAC